GTAACCCCCGAGCGGAGGGCGTTACCCCAACCAATCCCAAAGGGGCTGGCTTGGTTATTAGCGGCCATTTGAAGGATCATTAGGCATGCATGGGAAAGATCGTCAATCAAAGTGTGTTTTTGGGAAACGGGAACAATTCCCAGCACCCGAGATTATCTTGGTGGCATATCGCTCTGGCCCAACGAGTTCTTTGACTTTGCAACCGCTGATAATGGGAAAGGATTGAGGGACCGTCAGACTTTGGGTGGCAGATAAGACGTGTCTAGGGAGGCCATTATCTCTACTTTGGTGTTTATGCGGCAGATAAAGACAGCCTTAATCGCTTCATTCAAGTACAAGCAGTTAGTCCCTCGGAGGTTTTCAGTGCTATTTCTTTGAGTTTTAAATAATTCGTTAATAACAAATGGGTATAAAATTGGTAAATTTATAAATGCCAAGATATTGGTGGAAAACCGATATAATATTGTAGAATAAAGGAATACAATTAGCGTAAAAATGCCTTGTATAACCCTTTCATTGATCTTTCCTTGCACGCCTATTTATTGTTTCGCAAGCTCACATTAGTTCAGAAACTAATTTCGTTGGAAACCATAGACAATTACGTTTGTTCTCGGCATGAATCACCCTCGAAATGATTCAGCAGGGCGATCCAAATACATCCCTCGGTTGCCTAGAAGCCGAACCCCCACCACTTTTCGTTAAACCCTGCACTTTAACCAGATAATTTGCATTGCCTCGTGAAACACGGCAAGTGTACAAGTATCTCGTATACTCGCTTGGCTAAGCCCTCTCTCAAGGGGGAACTGCCCGGAGTTCTGTTCTGCGATTTAACAGGTTTGATCCGATCTGGCCGCCTGCCAGGCCATTTACTATACTACTTGGCTTGGATTTTTTCCCGCTACTCAAAGTGCCACACAGCTGAAATAAATTAATTGCTTAATTGTTGTTGCTGCCTTAGCGGCATTATTTGAGATGAAATTTGCTTTTAATTAAGAAACTCTCTAAAGAGCGAGGGCGAGTCTGTTTTACGCTCTTGAGCACTGAGAAAAAACATCGATCTATGGGTTTTAATATTATTGAGTCCATAGATATACAAAATTAATAGAAAATTATGGCTTGATTAATTAAATAATTATTATTGATAGTTAATATAATCTCCTAAAATCGGGGTTAATTTCAAAATTATCTCCCCGTGTATTCTCTGGGCTTTTCAACCTTCAAAGATGCCTGTGCGTGGGGAGTTTTCCACTGCCCATGTGTGCGTCTTTCCATAGGCGAGTGTGTTTTGTTTTTATTTTTATTAGACCAAAGTCGTGCACTTCGTTAGCCAAAAGCTGAGTGAGTGAGTGAAACGCGTTCTGCGTGGGATTCTCTAATACCGATGATGGTGGCTGCTATTTGGGTTTTGGCCGATTCTAAAACTGGTTTTCCACTTGGCCAACTTGCCCATCAAGGAGTCGCCACGAAACGAAATCGAATGGCAGTTGAATAATACGGACAAAAAACAAAAACATAAACCACACACTAACAAAGACTTAAATTGCGCATAACATTTGAATAATTAAGCACTGCCTTTCTCGCCTGCTAAGAGTCGCATTTGTATACATGTATTTATTTTGGGATTACCAGGCCAGGGATTCTCCCCGAGATTCTCCACACAGAAATTCCTAAGCCCGCTTGACCTGAATTCCTCGCCAGCCAGTCTTCAGTCGTCAGTCTTCCCAGGGAAATCTTCCAGCGCCAAGAAGGAAACCTTTTCTTCTGCCCACTCTTTCGGTTTGGATTTCATAATCGAAACGAAAGCTGAGTTGGATGTTGTTTCGAAATCCATTACTCGGATTTCCAGATTGGCTCTTTCCTAGGGATCCTAACTCTGCAGCTACAAATGTATCTGAGTTGGCTGTGCCCTTTTTCCATTCCAGCTTTAACGGGACCCGGACCCAGACGGAACCACTTATGGAGCGGGACAGCGCGAGCATTCCGTCTCTGTCGGAATCTGAGTATCTATGCATCTGTAGCTGTAGCTGCCTTGATTTTCCCATTTTCTCACACTCCAGAGCCGCCAAACGAGGAACGCCAGCGGGCTTGGGACCCCAAAGAAAAGCTGACTCGAAAAAGGGTGCCTATGGGAGAAGAGGGGGAAAAGATGAAGAAATAGGAAACGTAGGAAGATAGAAAAGGTTTTCTCCGCGCAGCATCTTCACTTTTTTTCTGTATATATATGCCGTTTAAAACTTTCAAGTAAAACTGTTTTATTATTACAAAAAAAGAAAATGATAAATTAATTAGAAGCTGACTATTTAAAAATATAACAATTTCAAACTATTGAGCATATAAATACCCCATACCATATCTGACTACCTCTTATCCGTTCAAATCGCGGGAACCGTCGAGAACTGAGAACTGAGGAGAACCGAAGACACCAGCAGCAACAATCATAATTACGAGGTTAACCTTAAGAGTTGACACAAATCCGGGCCACAGAGCCAAAAGCGAGGTACGGCGGCCTCTGGCGCTGTCGTTCCCAGCAATTAACTTCGAATGACACCAAATGCCACCGAGGCACGCCAACAGTCGACCAACTCGCCAAGTCGCCATCAACATCCACCCTCCACATCCACCATCCACTGAATCTACTGAATCTACCGAATCCAGAGGAGCCGCTTCATGCCGCCCACCATCGGATCGCAATTGCAAGTGAACGGCAACTTTGATGCCGCCCACAAAGCGACAAAGTTGCCATACCCTCGCCAAAGGGTATCATTATTTGCCAGCCTCTACAAGGTAGTAATTACATCTTCCATGGGTTAGGACGACATCATTAAAACCATTTGGGTACTTGAAGGTTTCGGATTGGAATTGATTTAGTGTTATGATCTGTTAACCGAATTAAAGTGGTAAATGGAAATCATTCGCTAATAAATACACGGTCATCATGAACAATATTAAAATTAAACCAAAATTAAAATATTATTGCTTGAGATATGAAATATTTACCTCTTTTATTTCCTACTATATAAATACGACTATTTAAATAAAAACCCAAAAAAAACTATACTATATAAATTTTGTTGGAACTTAATATTGCTAATCCTTAATCTTGAAATATTTTTGTTATTTTTGTTTTCATAATGTAAATCTTTAGAGTATTCGAAGTTCCTATCTTTCATCTCAGTTTCGGTTGTTTCTCTACCCGCTGCTGATGATGTTGATGTTGTTGATGATGCTGTTGATGCCTGCTGATGATCTTAGCTGGCTTTGGGCATGGGCAGTTTTGCGGTTTATTTGATCAGTGTTCGACTAGCATTCCATCGATTTGTATGTAGGACTAGCCGACTGGGCGAAAAGGGAGAGAGACAGTGGATAGGCAGTGGCTAGGGTGAGGGAGACGGGAGATGGGAGATCGGAGATGGGAAGACTTACAATTTTGTAACGATCGAGAGATATATATCTGTGTATCTGACAGAGGTTCCCTTGTGAAGTGCAATTGAAACACTGTGTGAATTTTTCAAGCGCCAAGCTTTCGATGCTCGAGTATGTGTGCCTGTTTCTGTTTAGAAGTGTGCGAGTGTGAGAGGGCTTGTGACTTTGTAACTCCATCTAATGCAGAGGGAAAATTGTCATTATTTTGCAAATATTAAAATATATTAAATATATACTTAAATTAAAAAAATGTGATTTTTACTATCATAAGAGACTAATCTTAAATTTAAAAAAGTATCTTTTTAAGCCAGTTAAGCTATATTTCACCAAAATATCATTATTTTAGAGTATGATTTTTACAAACACTTGTAGTATCCATTTTGTAATCCAATAAAAACTAATCCTAAATTAAAAAAACTCTCGTTCTAAACCAGTTTGGCTACATTTTACCAAAATATCCTTATTTTAGAATAGGTTACAAATAATATAGGTACCAAAAAATGTGATGTTTACTACCATTTGTAGTATTTATTTTGTAATCCATTAGAAACTAATCTTAAATTTAAAAAACTATCTTTTTAAACCAGCTTAGCTACATTTTACAAAAATATCCTTATTTTAGAGTAGGCTCAAATAATATAGGTACCAAAAAATGTGATTTTTACTACCATTTGTAGTATCCATTTTGTAATCCATTAGAAAATAATCTTAAATTTAAGAAACTCTCTTTCTAAACCAGTTTGGCTACATGTTACCAAAATATTCTTATTTTAGAATAGGCTACAAATAATAGAGGTACTAATATTGAATCGCACCTCCTTGATGTACCTATGATGAATCTGGTTCCACAGTGATGGACTGTTTCCCTGTGTTTCTCTCCGTGTATGAGCCTTGCTTGGCCACCACTCCCTACTTCGCAACCTCCCCCCGAGAAACCCACGATCCGCGTGGCTCATTCAATTCAAATGGCTCGTGATTTCGTAAGCCCGCTTTTGTTGTTGCCCCGCTGGGAGCTTGTTGCTTTTTATGTTTGTTGTCGCTGCTGCAGCGGATTCAAGATTCAAGATTCGAGATTCGAGGCCATCGAGCGACGACTGCAAGTGCGACTTTGGCTGCAGTTAGACGCCAAGAGATTTGCAGCATTTTTCTCCGTCTCCGTCTCCATCTCCGTCTGCGTTTTTGTTTCTTTTTGTGTGGCGTGATGACCTTGAGCCGCTCATTTTAGCCAAGTGGCCAAGTGTGAGTGTTGGCCAAGTGGCTGACTTGCCAGCAACAGTCGGTGTGTGTGCGATATGCGACTGTGTGTGAGTCGGTTACCCAGTTCCAGTTACTTTTGCCAGCTCTCGCTCGAGCATTTTATCTTTCTCCGCAGCGCTGGCCACTCAAAGTCGAGGCAAAGAGTCAATTACAACAAACTGGATAGTATTGCGACCCGGGGTCGGGCCAATCACACAACCCTTACAGCCATTCTATTTCGAATTATACCCATGTATCAAACCAGTTGGTAGTTGTCCGATGCGAGATTGTCCAAAATATTTAGGCACATTTTAGCTTAGCTTTGCTTTTTCAATCTCATCCCTGTACAAAGCTAAAAAATAAAATAAATTTGGAGTCTTAAAAAATTTCTGTATAAATTAGCAGGATGTTTCAAACAAGTTTGGCCATTATCTTTTGTATTTGTTGTTCGATTGGAGTAAGTCTGGGAAGAAATGAATGCAAACTTTTAGATACTAAACTTTATCCTAAAAAGATCCTAAGACTCAATGCCACTCCAATTCCATCGGCGGCCTTATCCCAAGGAACAACTAGCATTGAGGTCGATTCTATGGAACCCATGGTAGTAACAATTCAAGTTCAGTACCTAAATTACTCGTAAATCCCTTCGCAGGAAGCACAGGAAACTTCTAGAAACCCTTTAGCCACGCCCACCCGGGAGTCCCAAGAATGGAAACAAGTAACGTCCCTTTACGAGGTTCTAGCTCCCACTCCCAATAGGGATAGATCCCGCGTGAAGAGATTTCTGGGTGGATTGGCACCTGGTCTCCGCTTATTTCCGGTTAACGATGGCTATGGCAACCCAGCCAAGCGGCGGTCGAGAACGAAGAACCCGAGGCGGCTCAAGGATAAGACGACCAAGAAATCGACCCAAATGGCTAAATTTCGGGCCGAAGGTGAAGACGATGAGGCGGGCGAGGCAGGTGATGCTAGACAGGCAGAGGCAACTACGGGAGCCTTCGTGCGTCCAACGGAGCTGACCATTTCCATTCGCAAAACGGACAAGTTCGGCCAGTGGGTCTACAATCCCTGGGGCGCCACCTTCGGCAAAGTGTGGCAGGACACCCGCTTCCATGTGAACCACCAGAGCCGAATGCCCCGCCTGCATATCGACTCGGACCCCGGCATGGACTACTATCCCGATGACGAGGGCATAAGCACCGTCTGCCTGGGCCGCTCGACCGTCTACAATGTGCCCAGGATCATGAAGTATTTGACGGGCAAGCGGTATCGATCGCCCCACGTGAAACGGGCTATTTGGATGGGTTACCGCCGGAACATCTTCAAGCTGGGCAGGTCGGAGGAGTGCCGCACGATGAACCTCACCGAGTGGCTGCCGTTCCAGGAATGCAATCTCAGACGCCACCAGCGGATGGAGTACGTGCTTTACAAGTATCCCAAGCACCAACTGTAGTTTTATTTATTTTTTAGCCATATTTTGTGAACTCCTTTTAACAACAGTTCCTTAATAAACGCCTTGTAATATTATGTGGAAAACTATATGTGGGTCATCAGCTCGAACTTATGGTGGGTAAAACTTTAAAATGGATAATAATTAAATTTACTCTGGACATTTTGAAAAGGGGATGCATACTTTACTTGCATTCATTCGATAAAAGCACTCCTTGACTTTTCGTTCACAGTGTTTTAAAAGTGATTTCTTAAAATCGCCTTTTTTTATTAGCTGTTGTGGAAAATGTTGAATCTAAATTTGCTGGTTATTCTGGGCCTTTGTTGCCTAATCAATGTAAGTCGCGACCTTACTCTTTATTTTCTTTGGCTAAATCCGCTTTCTTCCAAAGACCTTGCCCGTGCAGAAAAGCGTGCCTATTGTTTTATCGGAGAATCAACGAAACCAGACTTTGGTAGATCCCTCTGCAGCGTTGGACAGAAAATTGGTAGCGGAGTTCGGACTCTTTGGAAAACTAATGCCAATGGTGGCAACGAAGCTTCCGGATAAAATAGATACAACCAAAATAGCTAGTACTCGACCTCATGGTAAATGGATCTCTCTGGCAGATCCGCCCGTCCTCGAAAGTGATTTATATAACTTGGCTAAGAAATTGGTAGTGAAATCGAAGCCGAAGTCTGGATTGGGCCTCCGACTTTTCGGTAACCACGGGTCCATTTCGACTTCGAGGGTTTTGGGTACCGTTAGCCCAACCCTAAAGGATTTTCCCCGCCCACCTGCCAAGAGAAAGTTCCCTAACTTTTGGAAAAAGTCGGAAGAAAAAGAAGCGACTGACGTTGATGAAAGCTTAAAGGGAAAGGAAAGCGAAGGGACTGAAGCAGGTAAGAATTGCTTAGATTTATTGCCGAATCTTATACAATAGTAAGGGTATTTGCCAAAAATAAGGACGTTACAGCTTTGTCGGTTCATAATATTTTAAAGAGTTTTATAAATAAGTAGAGCTATATTGTAATTTTCATCTCTAGAAGCCGCTGCAGATCAGCATAAAGGAAAACGACCTCGCTACCGAGGAAAAGGATTGCGGAAAAAAACAGGCGACGGAAAATTCGAGGGCTATGAGGTCACGGAACTAACTGTCCAAGTGCCCAACATGCAGACCGATCGACATGGGAACTGGGTGTACAATCCGTGGGGAGTGACATATGGCAGACCGTTCATGGACCCGCGATTCACGAAGGGCTGGGATGCCGGAAAGCACGGCGGGGTTCGCTACCGAGTCGAAGAGGAAAGTGGGTTGGCTCACGCTTACCTTCCCCATCGCGCACCGATGAGCACCGTGTGCCTGGGCAGATCCACCATCTACAACTACCCCAAGGTCTTCTTTTGGCTCAACCGGATGATTCACAACGTCTCCTTCGACCACCGCACCATCTGGATGGATCTGCGGCGCGAGCTGTATGTCTATGGCAGATCGGAGGAGTGCCACACGGTCAACTACACGGATTGGCGCGAGTTCCAGGAGTGCAGCCTGCGCCGGAACCAGCGGATGGAGTACATGATTCCGCAGTATCCACTGCACCAGATTGGCTACCGGAAGTACTACCACAAGAAGCAGGCGGCGGGCGGGCAGATCGAGGATGACGAAGATGAGTTCGGCGATGACTTTTAGGGCTCGCTGTATTTTACCAAATGACGAAAATATAAAATGGTACTTGTCTCGGGAAAAATAGTGTTGTTAATGGGTTTTAAAAACTTGGAATGGTAAATAGTTTTTTATCTGTATATTTCATTTACTTGAGTCAACTGTACTTTTCCAACTGTCAAAATATTGGAAGGGCCAACAAAATTAATGTTCCACATTCGGGGTCGATGGAATTGAAGGGAGTACGTTTGGTCGTAAGATGCCTGCTGATTGTAAGTTGATTTGGCCTTTTTTACCCTAGAGGCTTTAACCATCCGTAAGTCTAGATTCTTGGCTTAGTTGTAGCTCAAGCGATTCCTGAGCCCGCTCACCACCTCCAGTCCGATTTGATGGTGAGCAGGTATGGTGAATTGCTGGGGCCTCCGAACTTTGTCCTGCTGCCCAAGGATGATGGTGAGGCCTACGATGACAATATGGAGGGCGATGGCGGAACCGTTTTGGAGGGCTTCGACGAGGGCGGTGGAGAAGATTGCGATAAACTTCCCTACGGCCCGACGACTCAGGGAGGCAAAGACCAGTTGACTCCCAACTGGGTTTTCTCTATCCCTCTGAGTGTGTTCATCATCCAGCTTCTATCATAAATGAGTCAGATAGAAAAGGCTTTTGTTTACCAACTTTAGTTCTTATTCGAGAGAAAGAAGGGGAGAAGAAAGTGCCAAAGTGCATTGTAATTTTTCCATCCAAGTTTTCTGCTGTCGCAGTTGGTTTCTTGTGCGTTTCGTGAAATTGTCACAACCACAACCGATGACCTAATTACCCGCGGGGCTCTTGGGCACACATCCAAGCTATGGGGTATATTCTTTGGGGGCCTGTTCTTGCCTTCGTCGCTTCACGTTTACTGAGTTAGCAAGAAATGCCGCGAATGTTGCAACAGCAGCGATTCAAGCTTTTCCACCACATGAGACATACATGTTGGCCATCCGAAAATCGAGCGAAGCGAATTTCGCAAATAATTGGAGCAGTTTGCCAACGCTCACGTTTTGGTAAAGGCAAGGTAACACTTGGCCAAGGTAAACCCAGCTCTGATTCGATAGTACCCAGTCACATGTGTGGAAAAAAACACGCGAAACGAAGGGAAAAACTCGGAAATCGATACCCGATGTTATTGCCTCCTTATCGCGTAGGAGAAGGAGGGAGGAGGGAGGATGGGAATGAGTCCTGTTCACGATTAGCCGAATCGATAAGGCAAATCAACACTCGATAAGCGTCCTGGGACATGGGACACACCACACATACCCGTTCTTATCGCTGCCAGGAGTTATGTGAGTGTATCTGCACTGAAAAATAACATGATTAACTTTGTTCAAGGGATGATGAGATAATATTTTTACGAGATATCAACTTGTAAGAAAACATTTTTTAAGATTTGGTTTTGGAAACAGAATAGAAATTTTAAACAAGAATACGTACCATAACAAATGTTATCAAAATTTAAAATTTGTAACTATATCTTTTAAAAATAATAATTTCATTCCCCCAGTGTCTAAGGTCAAAAGTGTAGTTGCTGTAGCCACACATCCTGGCATGACTCGCTTTCGATTCACTGATACGACACGATAAAATCATAAAAAAAATAAATATTGGACTTATCGTTCGATATTTAGGACCTAAAAGGAACGCCTGAATAATGAGCCTGCTATCAGTGGGTCTTTTTTCTGGGGGCGTTGACCAGGCCCGAAGTCTCTTATCAGCTGGGCGCTGGGGAGGCGAAGCCCGAGGGCCGCAAGTCTGGGACATTGTCCGGCGATGACTTTAAAATCCTCCCAGAAAGTCGAGGGGCGGAAGACCCGCAGAGGCTTATCACAAAAACCGGGCGACGAGCGTAAATAATACAATGTGGAAGCAGAAGGAAATGCCGGCGCGGAGAAGGAGGCGCGGAAGAGGCATAGTTTTTCCTCGGACTCCACGGGAAAAGCAGGAGAAAAACGTGCGATAGGCCAAGGGGCAAATGAGCTGAAGGAAAACACAGAAGAAAAACAAACCTTTGGCGCTGGCAAAGTGCATTCGCCTCACCACGGAATGGAAGTCAGTGCCAGGAGTTGAGGAATGCATTTGGAAAAATGTTAAAAATTAACTTACAAATTAAAATGATTTTCAAGTTGGAGAAAGAAAAAAACAAAAATCGTAGAAGTTACAAATATTGATATAATTAATCATTAAACCATAAACTATTTTGTGATTTTTTGATATATGTATAGTTAATGTTTTTAGAAGAATTTGTTTACTATTTCATAAGGTTTCTCTCTCGTTCTAAGTAAATACATATATTTTGTATTTGATAGGAACTGCAATCAGGATCGAGTATATGACCTTTTCTCTCAGTGTAAATTATTGTGGATGTCTAGGACGAGGGGAGAGTGGTGGAGGTGAAGTGGACAAGTGATAAAGCAAGGAGAAGGCAGAAGAGCGCCGCGTAGAATCCATTAGCAGTCGCTTGGAACGGAATGGATAGAAACTCCCGATGGGTGGGGAAAATGGGGAAATAGGAAAGTGGGGAATCGGGGAAACGAGGGGGGAGCAGGCGGCAAAAAGTGCATGTGAATGGGAATGGAAATGGGTGCATGTGGAGTTCGAGTCCGCCAAGTGGCAACCAAGTGCATCCCGACTCCTCTTTCTCTGCTCTCCATTCTCCTCGCCCTTTCTTTTTTGTGGAAAGGGTTCAATGCTCGATTTCTTCTAGCTGCAGCGGTTGCCATGGGAAAACTCTGTAGCAAATGCCTCCGAGCAGGATCAACCCCCAATTACGTTCAATTAAAAACTCGAACAAGCTGTTGTGTAATTTGTGAATTCTGCGGGTAAAGGATCCCTATCCCTCCGAAAACGCGGTCTTGATTGCCTTAATTGGGGTCGAGGCAAATTCAATTCAAGAAGTTCCGCCACCGAAAAATTTAGAATCACTGGGTAACACGCGTCCGGCGGCATGTCGGATTTTATGCAGGATCCGCGGATGCTAACGATTCGGGAGTCGACTTTTCGATGAGGGCAGGATCAATAGTCCTGGGAACGAATAAATTTAGTTAAAGGCCTCGCTGTTGGTAAATTTCTGGAAATAAAAAAAAAGTGGAATTAAAAATACAATTCAAATTTTGTAATACAAACTTAGAAGCTTACGATCCTCATCACTTTTGGATACACCTAAATTAATAAATTTGTTGATATATTTTTGAAAAAGTATAAAGTGTAGAATTCTTTGACTTAAAATTAAATACTTTTTATTGATTATGGTTGACCTATTTTCAAAATGCTTTTTGCTCTTTGACTCTTTTTTCAACCAACAAACCACCCCAAAAAAATCGCTCCTCAATTTGTTCATCTAATTATAAACAGTCATCGAGTTGAGACGATCCTCGACCGAAGTTCAATGATCCCGATCCCAGGCAAGAAAAACCTGAAGGAAAAATGGTAAAGAACAAAGAAAACGGCGAACAATGACCGGGTAGACAAAGGGAAAGAAGATGGGAAAAGGGCCTGCAGATAGGGTACATCCTATACCCAGGAAAGAAAAGGCAGAAAGCCTGAAAGTCAATGAAATAAAACAAAATAAAGACAATGAGGCTGATGAGGTTAGAAAAGGACGCTCGCCACTCACGTGGACCGAATGCTGATGATCCTCGAGATGTGCGTGCTGCGATACGCGTGTGTTCCTGGAATAGCAAACAGGACACGCCCACGCCAACGCCCTTTTCTCAAGGAACACAAGGAACTTGATCCCGCAGGAATCCCGAATCCGAATCTCAATCCCAACTCTAGTTGGTGTTGAGTAATTTGTGCGCTGCTAAGATAAAAATCTGTTAAGCGGTTACCAAACATAAACAGAGTCCAGGGGTTGAAGAGATTACGGCGGCACTCGGAGAAAGTTGTGGTGTATTTAAGAAATGTTTTGTAAATAAATATTAGGGGGGTGAATTTTTTATACAAAGATTTGTTTGTAATAAATTAATGTTGCATTTAATAAGCAGGTGGTAATTAAAATAATTGTTTTTTCAAACTAAACAAATATGTATAAGATTTATCCTGGGCATTTTTCCAAGTGCATCCTTTACTTAACCCCTGGTGCGTGGGGGTGTGTGATCGGTAGCTCCTTCTGGTCGAATGCAGGCGGTCTATTTTCGGCCGCCGAATCGGGGCACTTAAGGCTTTATGTGGGTCCTTGCCGGGGGTTGCGATGGCTGGGTGACCTTCCCCTGTTTTTGGGGGTAACTTCGGCGCTGCTATTTGTGTACTCCTGCATGGCAGTCCAGGGGTTTGTCAATCTTCATTACGATTTCCATAAACAGCCCGCAGATTGCAGGCGGCTCCTTCTGGCAGGACAATTGCCGCAGATTGAAAGTTCCCACATGGTCAACAATAAATCAATTGAACGATCCCCGGCAATCACTTAACTTTTGAGGCTCGGGAACTTTTCTGTGTGCGCTCAATGAAGCGTCAGTGATAAATTGATCGGGATTCGGGATTCGATATTCAAGAAGGGAACGAAGAAAATCTTTTTCAATTAATTTACCATTAGGATGCCAATCACACGCTCTGCCCCAAAAATAGAAACGATCTTCGATATTTTCCGCCTCTATTTTTATGCAAAAGAGTCAGTCAGTCAGTCAGGTAAGGAGAATGCTCTTTGGAGCGAATTCCTGTTCCTTTGTCTATCCACAAATTGCCGACAGATACACACACACACACACCGCAACGAGCAAATTGCATTTTTATCTATTTTCTATTTTTACTTGGAAAATACCAGCATCGCGGCAAATGCAGCTGAGAACGCGCGGAGGATTATAAGACCCATCATCGACGTCGCCGCTTCCTTCCTGCCTTCCTGCTGCCGCCGCCCAAATAGCTGTAATAATAAAGCCGATCTCTCCCTGTTTTCAGTTTTCAGTCTTCAGTTCTCTGCTTTCTGTAGGATGCGACAAGAAAAGCAGGAAAAACTCCTTGGCCGCTCACACAGATACACACAGGCACCACTGCAGGCGCACAGTTGTCGTTGTCCTATCCC